GCATACCAGGTCCTGCAGGGCCACCTGGACCGCCTGGACCGCCTGGACCACCCGGAAGTGGTGATGGTGGTTACGGCCCTCCACAGCCTGGACCGCCTGGATTTCCTGGACCACCTGGTAGGCCAGGACCGCCAGGTCCACCAGGAATGCCTGGCTCTCCAGGTATAAGTGGCGAGCCTGGTGGAGATGGAGAATACTGCCCATGCCCACCGCGTTCGAGAAGTTACGCCGGCGCGCGTAAAGGTCGCAATTTTAAAGGTATATCATTCAGTAAAGCTAGAGCAGTCGCTGCTGTAAGAAGAGCAGTAAGAGGTCCACAGCGAGCTTCGACCAACTCAGCCGCTAGATATCCTCCTCATCCAACTGCAGCGAAAAACGTTGATCAGAGCAATAGAGTCGCCAGGGTTCCTACACGTCCAGTTGCAACTAATAATGCTGCCAGGAGCTCCCAGCGCTCTGCATATAGAGCTCCACAGCAGTCAGCTGCAAGTAGAGTTGCTCGGGTCCCCGCACGCCCATCACCTGCGTCAGCCAAACATTCATCAGCTCCATCTGCTAACAGAGCCCCTCCGTATCCTGCTCAAGCTACAGCCGCGAATCGAGTTGCCCGAGTTCCAAGTCGTTCTTCGTATAACAAAGCTGCCAGCGCTACTCATGCGACTACGCGGAACAGGGCAGCGCGAGGAGGACCCAATCGTGCAGGAGTTTCGATAGCAAAACAGCGTCAGGCAAAACGTACGCAATGAATTTGAACAATTACTCAAGTTTTTTCATAATTACGTTGATGTCCAATAATGAAATCAATAAAGAAGAGCAATTACCTTTTATAGAAATTCCTCATAATTATATTGAATTCAGTGAAATAAAGGGATCAGATTCTTGCCTTTGTTCACGAACAAATTCATACTTCAAAATTTCATTCATTCAATTGCATGATTGAGAATGAACTGACCACTTTAAAACATGGTTGAGGTAAGCTATGCTGTAGGTTTGTCATAGTCGTATGAATGATTGAAACGTATCATGA